TCAATTTGATGACTGATAACTATAGTTAGAATTACCAAAAAATGGTTGATGCTGCATATATACAAATACATGCAAATGGTTTTGAGTTTGACATAAAAAATTTCAGATTGGAAGATATTACCTTACAGAACATTGAACTGCTTTAATTTTGCTTCTATATTAATTTATATTATTTTTGGTTGTCATAAAATGTTGTTAGACGTTCTTGCTGAGATATGTTTCTGTAGTTGTGATTTTTGACGAGAGGACTAAACTCTTGTGTTAAATGGAGTCAGTCCTTTACTTTTAAGTGGCAAGAGCTTCTAAGAGGAAAATCACATTCAAGTGTGGCTAAGGTTGCTTAGTTATACAAGACCTTCATTCTCTGGGGTTTCATAAAGGGAAATGCAACTTAATTTTTTTTGACTTACACTGGAAGTTGTTCTAAATTAAAAGGCCAAGCAATATAGAGGAGCCATATCCTCCAGTGAATCTGAAACCAGTGAAGCACAGTTTTTTGTTTGTTTTTTATTAATTTGTTTTAGCAGTGTATTGTCTACTATCACTTTATTAAAATCATAATGCCCCTTCATAAGTAATTTTAAAGGCTTCATTATACTCTTAAATGTGACATTTATAATTTCTCAGAGCCAACTTAACTTTTTTGGAAAAACAAATGATCTTTTTGAAGTAATATCTGTAGAAAAATATACTTTGGTTCTGTACGTGGTAGCCATATTTTCCTGAATACTTTTATTGTCTGAAACCATAGTTTTGTGATTATAATAAAAATATGTAGTAACAAAATATTTAACATCTCCATGAACTTAGCATTCAATTAACCTAAATTTTCATGTAACATTTTAATATTTAGCTTCATTTAATTTGTGTTTATCAAAATAAGTATGTTTTCTTTACTAAGTTGTTTTTAAAGGAATGAACTAAAATCTGAATAATTCATATAATTATTTATTTTTTAAATTTTAAAATAAAATCAGCACTTATATTTTAGTGCATTTAGATTGATATCTGCTTGAAAATTTTAGGTATTACTAAACATAGACTGGAATCAAAAATGCTTTAAAAATAAAGGCATGTAAAATTTTTCATTATTCAATATATTTAATGTTAAAAGCAAAATATAAAATTGAATATGCAATATAATTCTAATTGTGTAAGAAATCATGTATTCCATAAAAACCATATACAACTTACATGTGTTCTCATATACCCAGAGGGAGAATTTTTTCGACAGTTACCTTTGGGTGGTTCTTTAAGTTTTTCTTTATTTCCCAAAGTTTCTATGGTTGAGATGTGTTTTACATTCAAAACATAAATATTATTTTTTAAAAGCTCAAGTACATTGTGTTATATATTTGCTTTTTTTATATGTCTGTACTTCAGTGGACGTGGGAGTAGAGAGTGTGAGTAAATGTGTTTCTCTTGTAGCTAATTCTTCGCTGTTATCAAATAGCCTAGGCTCCCAGAAACATTTTAATGTGCATAATAAAAATGAGAACATACTTTTTTCCTTATAATTCTAAAAGAGGTGGATCAAGGGTGAATTAATATAGGTGATAGTTTTGAGTCTAAGGGAAGAAAGACACCAGGATTTGAAAATATCAAAATATCAATTTTCTATATGTCTATCAATTCCTTAATCCTATTGACAAACTTCAGAGAATAATTATTTTTTTCTAGTTTTATAGCAAGAGAGAGTGACTCACAGAGGATCAAAAAGTTTTGACAAGATTAGATTTAATAAAGTAAGCCTCAGACCATGGCTCCTCTTCAAAGCGCTAGTTAATACAACCACTTGTCATACTGAAATTTGCGATGTGTGATATTCAGAGGCGGCAGCTACTTTATGGCCACTATTGCTCTTAGTATCAGGATTGGGGTTCTTTCCTCAATAAAGTATGAATGTTCTTTTAAATAACTGCATCTCCTTTTCCTTCTGGTTTGGTAATAATAAAGCATGGAAAGATTACTGCCTAGTTTTTCAACACACTAGTTCAACACCATCTTGAACTAATTTACAAAATTATATTCTCACATGCTGCTGTTGGTTGAACTTATTTTGTAAGATGACAAGGGGCTTTTCCACACTTAAGTACTTGAATCATTTCTGGATCCTAATGAGGTCTCTATAAGAGGACTTGCTTTTTAGTTTTTTTTTGCCGATGTTTCTGGCTTCTTATTACAGAAAGATGAGTAGTGAATAATACAGAAGCAGAGAAAGGATCACCAAAGGCATAGTTAGGGTTCATTCTTAACTCTACTGTCATTGCACTTTGGAAAAACAGAGAATTCACTAGTGCACTTTAAGCTTTGTATTCCCTTGCTTCCAGGGGTGCTCGCTCAGGACTCACTCAGCAAGTTATCTTTGGTATAGGGGAGAGGGAGCCTCCCTCCAAACCTAGGACTGGTTCAGCCCATGATAACCAGGGCAGGTGACTAAGCACCTCCTTCCACACCATGAGACTGGAGTCCAGTGTAGCACTGACTCTGTGGTGACAGGTACTAGGGTACCAATCTCCTCATCACCCATGTACATATGTGCTCACATACATCGGTACAATGTCAAAAACAAGCTTTTGTTTCTGATCCTGCCCCGCAGCCCTCACTGTCCTCCACCTGTCCCTCATAAATACTCCAATTCAAAAAAATAAAAATAAAAAGCCAATTTTTTTTTTCTTAAAATACATTTGTTGCTTCTTTGGTAAAGTTTGTTGTCGTTATGTTTGTTTTCATTTAAATGAAAGACAATGTTACATAATCCTCTCTAGAAAAATCATGTCACCAGGATACAATTTTAGGTCTCCAGGAAAGGCTTACTGTGCAAATTTGAATCTAGCTTCTTGCCAGTTTATGGAAGATCCTAACAGTCTCTTCCCATTTTAGGAAGCATAGATAATCTCGTTGTGTGGTATTATAATCCCTTCTAACTACACTTCAATCAGCTAGATTTTCTTGTTTAAAAATCTTGTTGGGAAAGTTGTTCAAGTGCAGGATTTCAGAATCACTTTCTATCATAGGCTATTTTGGGTGCATTTATTCAGTTCATTAAAACTCACACATACTTTAAGCCAAATTGTATATAATAACAACATAATCTTCTGTGGATCTTAATTACCAGGTTTGATTTTTGATTATTATAAGCAAATTATAGGATACAATTAAAAATGTTTATATATTTTCTTTCATACTCAAAATAATATTTATATTACCTACATCATTTTACTTGTTACCGTAGGTTTGATAAGACATTCTAATATTAAGGTGTGGATTTAGACAAAGATTTTAAAATTATATATTTGGTATATATGCAAAGATAATTTAAGCATTATGTAATTTTTGAAAAGAACAGATGTAGTATACAACCTGTCATTTATTAAGAACATTTGCCACTAAGCGCAAGAAGAAATTTTATTATTACTAAAATGAGACAAATGAAATATTTGGCAAAAAAAAAAAATTCTGGGCAATTCAAAAGACTGAAATATTGCCTTCACTAAAATTATAACTGTCTCTCTTTATGCTTTGACAGGGAAAGGAAGCAAGACTGATAAATTACCTTAAGTACTGTATATTCTTAATATATCTTCTATAGTGCTTAGGAATAAAATACAAGCAAAAAAGAATCGAGTGTTTTAATAAATATGCATACCCTTTTCAGTTTAGAGTGATTTGAATCCATTGTAATTAATGTAAAGAATTAGAAAACTTATTTCTAAGGATTAATTTCAGATTGATGATGTGTCTTGGACTAGATGACTTAGTTCTTAGAAAATAAACTTGGCAATCAGGCAATTATAAAGAATAAAATGGAAGAAAAGACTATACCTTGGAAAAATATTTAGATTTCATATTACTTTAATTTTGGCTATCTGAATAATCTCTACGAAGAAAAGATATTCCTCAAAAAGTATAATTCTGGAACTAAAGAGGTGTAAAATAACACAAGTTTCCTTTAAATTGTGTTACAACCTTTTTTCCTGCTTTTTTATTTTCCCACTCTGAATTTCAAGATCTCTGTGTAATTTAATGATGACCATAACAATTGGTCTAATTATTGGTAATGCTCCATTTACTAATGTCATTCAAATGCTGAAGCATATTTCCTTAGGTCACTTAGGTCCTTTTCAGAATTGTTCATGAGCCAATGAACAGTTCAGTTGCCGTATTCTAAGTGAGGGTCATGGCCTGCTTTCTGTAGAATAATTGCATTCACTCTGATTAAAGAGCTTTAGCTAGCTAGATCAAGAAATATCCCATGGAGATTTTGGAAACTCTTCTCACAAATTATTCATGCTAAGAAATACCATGAAAGAACTCTGGGCCCCAAGTGGAATGTTACACAACTTTCCTAGCCTTTGCCTGTCTCTCCGAGACACGTCCTGCTGATACCTTGCTCCTGCATCTCTGGGTATGGTGTAGCTGAGGTTGCTGTAGCAACAGCACATACAGGGTAACATTCCCCTGTAATTGCAGCAGCCGGGACGTGAGTCAGTTGAAAAGTTTCACTGGGTTTTTATTAGTGTATGATGCAGTCCCATGTCATCCACAGTTTCTAGTCTGTCCAAGGCTCGCACACGATGATGAGGAACACTCGGTGCTCATCACCTTCAAATGTGAGATGGTACAGGGGCCTCTCACCGAAGCCACTGCAGTTGCTGGCTCCTTCCAGAGTACTCTGGAAGGCCAAGAGTAAAACTCAAGCCCCACTGCCAGAACTCCATTTCTCCTGTTGCATATCCTGTGTGCTTAATAAGCCACAGTAACCTTGGCTGATGATCAAGAAGCCCCTCTTTTTACCAAGGGAACTAGACAATGATTAATATCCCAGAAGACATATTTTCACCCCTGTGGCTGGAAAGAACATGTACTGAAGAATAAGGATGGAATTACTATAATTCTCTATGGGAATTTATGAAAGTGGAACTTATCATTTAATATTGGTCAAAAGTGGTCATAGAGTTATCAGTAACTTCTAACACCAGATTTGGTTTATTTTTCAGACATGGAGATGACTTGATTGTGACTCCATTTGCTCAGGTAAGCACAGTTTGGTGGATGGGCAGGTTTTTCACATTTGAAAATTCAATTTGGGGGTTAGTTCTGGTTCCTAATTTCATGTAAATCAAACACCAGCACAAAAACAAATTCTTGGTTCATTCAAGTAATTCAAAGGCAATTCTAGAATACGTGACCTTGAACACATTAGTCTGTTTCCTATAAACCCATAGACTTGAAGAGTATCTTTGCCTCTGATTACAAATTACTTTAATGACATACTTAAAGAGGACCATATTTTCTTAATGACATAACACTAGAAGCAGAAAGCTCTATATCATGGATTAAATTACATTTAGTACAATTAGGTACATGATCAGTGCTTGAAATTGAATATTTTAATTCAACTTGATGCTTTATTTACTCCTTTTTTCACATGTCATTTGTACAAAAATTTAACTGAGTGATATATTTGTGTTTATTCTTTTAGGCATACAAATCGTAAAAAGACTATCCACATGACATAAATGTTAGAAGGTGATAAAATGATCTAAAGCATTTTGAAATATATATAAAATGGTTGATGACCAGATAGATATTCTTTGTGTAGACCATTGCTTCTCAACCATAGCTATACATTAGAATCCCCTAGAATGTTTTTATTCCAGGCTGCACTCCTGATCAATTACATCCAAAAATCTGAGAGATGGATCCAATCATGTATACTTTTTAAAAAGACCCAGTATTTTTCCAGAAAAAGTTGAGAGCCGCTGGTGTAGGCAGATTTGGAACAGAAAAGGATAAAACTGATTTAATCTAGGCATTAAATAGGTTTAAAGCTAATACGAAAAGTTAATAAGAAATATTGTTGGAATTATTATTATTATTGGAAATTATATTATTATTGGAAATATTATTAAATATTGGAATACAAGTCATGTCAGAGTTAGTTTTCGTGCCTTGGGCAACTAATTTAACTTCTCTAAGATTTCTTTTTTCAAATAGATTAAATTGAGGACTAGGCTGGAATAAAAAGATAAGCCCCAGTTTAAATTCCATCTCCTCCTCTTGCTAAGTGAATGGCCTTAGGGAAGTCACTGATTTTTTTCCCAACCTGGTTTCCTCCTCTGCTAAGTGACAGTTCCAAGAGTACCCACCTCGTAAGGTTGTGAAGAGATTGAAATAATACCAAGCTTGTAAGATGTTCAGCACAAGT